TCACACAGACACACAGACACACACACACTCACACACACAGACACACACACACAGACACACACACACACACACACAGTTTCTACCTTGTGCTATTAAGTGGTCAAGGCTGGTCACAAAGCCATCCTCCATTGCAGAAACAGGGAAGTAGATCTTTTTGTTTGTTTAGAAACAGTTTCACTATATAGTCCAGGTTGTCCTCACACTCGAAATCATTCTGTCTCAGCCTCCTAAGCACTGGGATTACAGTTGTGTGCCAACATGCCTAGTCTAGGCCCTGACCGATAATGCAAGTGATAAAGGATCTGGGAGCCATTCAACACTCACTACATTAAGAGACTTTAAACAGAGCTGGGCGGTGGCAGCTCACACCTTTAACCCTGGTACTCGGGAGGCAAAGGCAGGAGGATCCCTGTGAGTTCAAGGCCAGCCCGGTCTACAGAGGGAGTTCCAGGACAGACTCCAAAGCTACAGACAAAGCCTGTCTCAGAAAAAACAAAAAAGATTTTAAACAGGAGTAGAAACAGTGCTAGGATGGGATTGGTTTGATATTTGGAGAGTTCTCTGGAAACAACATGGAGGGGGAAGGCCTGTAGAAGGAAGACCAGTGCGTTTGTGAATTAACTGCATGGGGAGATAAGAGATGATGACAGCTTGGAGCAGGAGGGTGAGTGAGAGGTGGAGATGAGTAGGTGGAGTGGCTATTAAAGGGACAAAATGACCTGGGCTTGGAGATGGGGCAATAAAGGAAGGTGAAGGGAAGGGAAAGCTTAAGGGTATCACCCAGGGTTACGGAGCAGGCAGAGGAAGGGAAGGAAAGAACTGGAAGAAAGTCTGGTTTGGAAAAGGGAGATAATCAATTTCGGTTCTTGGTGATAAAGGCTGTGGAGCAGGTGACAGGATAATTTAAATCAGTGGCTTTAGAGGGATCCTTGGTGGTGAAACACTTTGGACTCATTTTATTCTACCTTCAATGATTAAGATTTTGTTTGGGGGGATTACTCACTGGGTAAGGTGCTTGAACACAAGCATCAGAACCCAAGTTTGAATCCACAGACCTCACATAAGCTGGGCGTAATGATGCAAGTGTCTACAATCTCATTTCTCCTACAATGAGTGGGAAGTGGATACAAGAGAATCCTCAGAATCCCAGAAGCTTGTGGGCTAGCTATCCTGGCATACAAATCTATGAAATCTTGTCTTTAGCAAGGTAAAGGGTTAGGCTGGGCATTGTGGTGCATGCTTTTAATTCTAGCACTCTGAGGCAGAGGGAAGCAGAGTTTGTGGGTTTGAAGCCCATCCAGAACTTACACACAGAGTTCCAGACCAGCCAGGGCTACAGGTGAGACTCAGTCCCCAAAACAAAACAAAGATTACCCTCTGGTTTGAACAACTCCAATGTCAAAAAACAAGACGAGCTCTACCTTACTTGTGATGAACCAGGAAATGCTCTGCGTAAAGAGAAACCCATCTTGGATTAATCAAGAAATGGTGTGTGTGAAATGCTGGGTTCCCAAGAAGTTAATGTGAACACAATGCAGGCTTGGAGCCAAGGATGATAAGGATAATAATAGCTATTGCTTATCTGGTGTTTACTGTGTCCTGGGTGTCATTTAATACACCTTACAAACACAAGCTCTTTCAATCCTTACTATTATTACCCACATTTTGTAGATGAGGAAATCAAGGCCCAGAGAAATTAAGTAACTTGCCTGTGATGTCACAACTAGGATTTGTACTGGAGCCAGCTGTGTCAAGACTGTGTTATTATCCCCCACAACAGAACCTGGGCTACTGGTACAGGACAAGATGAGGAGGCAGCTTGGGTGTGGATGCTGCACCATGAGGGAATGTGGGTTGTGAGCACCACGTCCTGTTTACCTGTGCCAGAAGTCAGACCCCTGAGTCAGAAGTCATGCAGGGCTGCTTCGTCTCAACCATCATACTGTGTGGGTGTCCAAGCCTGGATACTCTGGAAGGAAAAGATTCCCAGCATTCCTAAAGCCATGCTCCTGGAATCTAAGTCTCTCCTTAGGCTGAGATGTTAGCTGGAACTGAACTCTTTGGGAGAGGATGAAATTTAGGTAGCCTTACAAGAACCCAAGAGGTCATGTATGAAAGAGAGGCAAGAGCAGAATGAATTATAGCTGGGCAGAATCCAAACATCCAGGAACCCAATTAAAATTGGGCAGAACCAACACTAAACCTGGCATATGTAACCTGTTTGTGTGTGTGTGTTGGGGGGGGGGCGGTGAGAAAGAGTATGGGCACGTGACAAATAGGCTAAGAAGGCCCTTGAGACTTGGGCCAGTGACTGTGTGCAAGAGGGGACCTGGGGATCTGTCCCAAGTTTAAATGACAGCGCTGGCGTTT